AAAAAAAAAGAGGAGATTACAGCAGTAAGCAGATTTGTCAACTGTTGGGAAACCCTGCTGCACCGGAAAATTTTAGATCATTCTGTGACTATATTTAGCGAGTTACTAGCAAGCCTAAGAGCGGAGGTTAGCTAAGATGGAGTAAATTTTAGCTACTTTCGATTTTTATTGGATTTGTATGCATTAGTAGCTCAAAGTTGTTGGTTTACCCTACATTTGATACTGAGTTTTCGGGAAAGCAAAAACGAATTTGTGTTTTCAAATCATACCTTCCATTCCTTAGGAGAAGCGGTGGGTGCTGTTGAATTGGACCCATTGCCTGCAGCAGCGCCACCGGCGCTTGCAGCTTCAGCCGGACAAATCAACGCATCAACGGCTCCGTTCATCTGTATCTCACCGAGAAGCGGACCGAAACGAACACCTCTTGGAATGTAGTCGACTGACCAAACTCCCATTCTCTGCAATCAACAACAATCGACCTCGTACAGCAGTCAGGCACATGTCGTTTATGCACCCAAAATGCAAACTATTTCAACGAATCGCCTTATCAACGAGTTTCAGCGCCAACGTCTGGCTGACAAAAGACAGACTTTTATTCAGAAATGAACCCCCCTTCTAGAGGGAGAAGTAATGCAAAATCACGTACCGAGGGATCTTGTGCTGATGGACGAATTGTAAGGTTAAGCGGTAACGAAGTGATTGCACGATTTTTTGCATCCTAAAATTAGTGATAGAGATACTTGTCCTACTGGTTAGTCCAGATAACGTTGGACTAGTGCTTATATGTGTGTATATGTGTGTCTGTAGTGTGTAGAGTGACCAGCTACCCACCTGATGTTGAACCGGTTTATCGGGAACATGGAACACACATAACTGTGCCAACGTTTCATCATTTATCTCACGCCAATCCCAATCCGCCATGCGTGAAGAGTCGTGGGGTACTGTAATCAGAGTGGATCTCGTATGTAATAAATGTTCAATTAACTGGAAGTCATATTTCTGATTGAAATTTATTTAAAGATTTAATTTTCAAATAATATCCTTTGAAAATTTGTTTCGAAATAAGGTCAAGGAGGTTGGAGACTTAAGGAGACGATTTCTACAGTATCCACACTATAACTGATCGGCGGAAATTTACAATTTTGGCCAAATAAATTCGACAACATTAGATTTGGAAAGAGAATAATTAAAAGTTCAACACTCCAACTTATGAAAGATGTACCATAAGAGGTCAGAATTTGGACAAAAGTAAAGTATCTTTAGCCCGATAGACCATCTTGCAAAATCGGACAACAAATCTGAAGGAGAATCAATTTTCGAAAATAGTAAGCGATACTAAAGCTAGAAAGAAAGCGATAACTGAAAAAAACAGACCTTTTCCTTGTAGGAAGGTTGACAAGGACATGAGTTAAAATTGGAAATTATTGATCCCATACAAGGTCACACATTTGCTAAGTAACAAGGACTATTCCACTCAATACAAAAAAGTTTTCTCTAAAAAATCTACTTTGAAGTTTTAGTATCCTAAGGGATTTATCTCATGATTATAAAGAATGAATCTGAATTATTTGTTTTTCCATTAGCAAGGGATGTTCTATTTTCTAATTAAAGAATGAATTTTTTGAAGGATCTAATTAAAATATGTTTAATGTCGAATTAAATTTGGTAATGTGAGTGTTGCCGTGCTATTGCTAGACACCTCAAAGAAAAACTCCTATTCTAATCACTGGAATGTTTGAACTCTTATAAGTTCCACATATGTGATATTGTGTTTTCGTAGAAGGGAAGTAGAAATAATATCACTGATAACGTATCGCTGACTACCCTACGCAGCAGGAAAAAACTCGTCGCTTCAATAAACATTACCCTCTAATTATATTAATAAACGAAATTCTTATTTTTGAATACGAAGAAAAAAAGATAGATGGATATGGGAATGTATAGAGTTACCTGAATATTAGAAGACCAAAATTTAAGATATGTGAGGTTAAATTTACTTGGTTGAGGAGGTCGTTGTGAAGTGGACTGTTGTTGTTGTTGGGGTACGGCTCCAAACGGTGGTGGGGCAGCCGAAGAGCCATCGCCTCGGTCTTCACCCATCTGCAACAGAAAGAGATTTTGATGGATAAGGTGAGATGATATGGGCATGGCGGAAAGCGAGAATCAGGCTAATGCTATTTTTTTTTCATGATGAATGATAAATGCAAGCAATGGCTGGACTAGGATTGGGAAGTTTGTAAAATTTGAGAAGAGCGAAGAGAAATTAAGTGAAAAGGCCCGAAGGCTGAGCTGGTGAAGAAACCGATCGTCGGCAAGACCTTATCAGCTCTTAGCGAACTGTTGAGAAATCACTTGCCATTTTCACTGACGAGCTCCGACTGAAACTAACCTAACTCTATAGTTTGCAAAACGTTTTTTTCATCGCTAAAAAAACTCTAGAAATTTTCTCAAAGAAAAAATTTTGAAATCCCGCCGTTCAAAATGTAAACGCGAAGCTTGGCGCGATGGCGACCCGCGTTGGTAGAAGGGGTGCGAGCGTGGCCGTCCGTAATTGCAACATCCTGGTGATGACCGGTTGGTGGCGCCGAAATGACTTGCGCGCATCGCGAACTTCTTGCACTTGATGAGGTCCGGCACATACATACAGAACGAAAGCCAGGCATCTTCGCACACACACACA